ATTATATTAACAATCTATCTTTATGTACAAAACAGTTGTCCTGCATGTCTGAAATTATAACTGGGTTAGGGGTCACAAGGGACGCGGATTTAGGAAATTCCACTCGCAAGTTTGATAAAAATGTTGGAACACTGTATTGATTACTATTTGATCGGCTTTAAGCATGAGATACTTTTGATTGAATTCATTTGAGACCATTTTTAAAAATGCGTCGTTCCTGGATAGAAATGAGAGTGTGCCAAGTTTCAAGTTTAGTCACATCGGCTTCATACTTATTTTCAGAGCCACAAGTAGTTAATTAGCCCCATTTGAGCGTTTTTGAGAATTCCATCTATAACCAAACGGATTTCCATTTATTTTCAAAAACTATTGTGCAAATACGTATTTGACGCTTTTCGCCAAATCCACACCCTTTTTAATGGAAACTGCAGGTCATCCAGCAGGACATCCGCTACACGCATCACATTAAATTTGATTCATTAATAGATCTCAAACTCATTTTCAATTCTCTATGTATATTCATACAATACAATTCAGGCATTCCCGCAGCTAATACACCTGATCGGGGCAATCCCCATTTTGGTGTAAAAAGCGCGCAATATATGTACATACAGATGTGTATACATTAAATGTACTATTTTTTATGTACGTTGAATTAATTCAAAAATTTTAATTTTGCCGCACATTTTCCACACGGAGATTATAGCTATTACGAATGTGTGCGTTTGTTCGTATCGGGGTTTTCTAATACTCATTTGTTTATGCGCGCTAACACGTGTCGGGCTTTACGACTGCCGACTGCGCAGAACCATTTTATTTTTATTCAAATAGTTTTCGAGATTTCCTGCTGCAGCTGGATTGAAAGAAAATTGTGTTTACATTATCAACAAGTGTATATATATGTATATATCAACCTTTATATATATACTCAGGTACTTTGTATTGCTTGTACGTTTATCAGTGAACTAATACACCCTTATTGAATTTACCTCGACTTTGAAATTATAATTTTGGCAGGCTGATAAGCACATTTCTACTGCCTCTGCTTCTTACTTTATCGCTATCAATTTGTATGAGCCAAAAGTGTGCACGACTCTTTGATTTTTTATAAAAATATATCTATATGTATGTACGTACTGCTGTTCAGCCATATATTAAATGTGATGCTAATCGAATATAGTAAATTTATGAAGCAAATTGGTTAGCACACACCCATTTTGTTTGTCCCGTTTCGTGGCCTTTCTCCCAAGCGAATTTGGGCCTGGCCGCTGCCTGAGCCACTCTACCGCCCCCGGCTGACCAATTTCATTAGCTTATGCTAATATGAGGTGCCAATTGCAGTTAATATATATGCACGTACATACATATAACGTACACAATTCAAATGTGCTTGTATGTGCAAATTTTAAAGTGTTTAACTGTCAGCTTTACGAAAATCGATCTGTAAGAGTTTGACTATAGCCAAATCAAACAAGAAAATACTTGTCTGACAAGACATAAAGCTATTAAAATGTATTTTACTCTTTCTAATTACGAATGAATGATAATCCTGAGATCTCATCATCGAATATTTGTGCATAGGTAATTCTCGAAACTTGCAAGTTCCCTGATTTATTTCCTCAACTATGCCAACAACTTGAGAAAATCAATAATTAATTCATCTTGTAACCCTTTTTAAAATTACCCTTTATTTTTGTTATTCTAATATTATTTTGTTAATGTGCACATCTGCTGAGCAGCTTCACAATAGCTAACAAGCAGCTCATGAGTTTGTTGTGCACACCTATATATATATATATATATATGTATGTATATGTATAAATGTAAGTTGAGAAAACGCAAACAGACCAATAAAGATACAGAAAACAACACAGATACAGAGACAAATACAGATAATCGCATGCAAACCTACAAGCAGACTTACATATACATACATACATGTGCATGTGTGTGTGTGTGTGTATGTATGTGTCCATAAGTTAGCTCAGTCAGCGCTTGGGACTATGCCCATATAAACAATCCACAAGTGTTTGTTTTTTATCACGCCGCTCGCCTCGTATATTAAAAAAAAGAAGAAAAAAAACAACTTTGTACATTTTTTAGTTGCTGTTGTGTCAGCTTCGTGTCGCATTGTATTTCATTTCTATGGAAATTTACAAGCCACGTAACGCATTTCTAACACGTGACTAAAACAAAAACCAACTTTTAAAACAAGTGCGAGTAGTTACGAAAATAGAAAAATGTACTTTTCTAACTGTATATTAAACAATTGTACAATAAATATAAAGTTGTGATAAGGCTGAGGGGCATAATGTGGGGCAAGGTGCGTGAGTAATTTGAACTATTTGTATCAGCTTTATGACGTGCACGTGCCTCTCTGGGCGTATGTGTAATGTCAAAGCTGGTTGGCTTGAGTACGTTACGTATACGTAATAACATCTGATGCGCCATTAGCTAATAGTGGCTGCATTGCGGCGTTGCACGTGTCACCAGCCAAAGGCAAAGTATTCGCAAATATCTACATATATACATACACATTCATTTGTAGGTTTTTACAAATGCAACTGTCCAGCTGACTGTGAGATCAGAAAAACAGCAAAAACAGGAATGCAGCTTATGCAAGCTGATTCAGCCAGCGCCCATTTTCATTGCGCATTGGACTTGGACACGTTTGTGACATTAGTCGAGCGTGCTGGGCAGTGACTTGTTGCTTTGATTTGCTTTGACCTTTGGCAGCGCTAAAAATAGATTGCATGCCTTTGTGAGTAGCGACCGCTGGCATTTAAATTTAATTAAAGTGCTGGAAAATAAAATGAAATAAACAAAATTATATATGTATGTACGCGCACTACATATATGTATAAACAAAGAGTTGTGCTGATAGTACAAACGCACACACACACACACTCACACACACACGTACACGCACACAGCTAAAACATTTGCACAACACGTGACCAACAACAAACTGGCATGTGTGCTGTGTGAGTGTGTGGCTTACAGCCGACATACATATTGACATACACATATTTCTGCATACAAACTTATTGTGTATGCATGTATGTGAATTGGCTGACACGCTCGCCTCGCGTGAGATATTACGTCATGCGCTATGAATTTTTTTGCGCTGGCTGTGGCCGCTTTCAACGTGTCTTGATTAAAAAGCTGCTCACGCGTATAACAGAGAGGCAGAACATCGGAAGAGAGACTGAAAGAGAGAGAGAGAGAGAGAGAGATAAAAAAGTGTGTGTGTATGGAAGCGAGACAGAGATATCGGTGCGCCCACCGCTCATCGCACTGGTAATGAACGGCCAACTCAGCGTATGATTATTATTTCGATTAATAATAATACATATGTATGTATGTATGTTTGCATTAAAAAACAATAATGAGAGCTTGCGTTTTGCATGAATATGTATCTGTGAGACAGTTGCTTTGTTGCCAGGCAATCCTCGCCTCGTCGCAATTCGCCGTCAAATGTCGGCGTTGATGGTGCCGCCGCCCAATGTAACAGCTGCGAATCGCTTTGGAATTTGTCACGTTCACGTGTTTTATTATGTGCTGCTGCCGTTGTTATTGCTGTTGCTGTTGTTTTGCTTAACTTGCCTTGGGTTTCTACGTTGCTGTTTATTTATTTTTGTTTTTGTTTCGCTTGCGCTTGCCTTTCAACTTGAAAGCTGTCAGACAAACACCAACAGAAACAACTCGAAAGAGCACGCAACGCACGCCCCGATGACCACTCAGTTCTATAACGGTAATCTTTATGTGCAAGTGTGTGGGTGAATGTTTATTATCAATAAAAAAAAAATCGAAAAAAAAACTATGTACGCCTGGACTATGTACACACATGGACATATGTATATACATTTTTATTTTCAACAATTGTCAACAGTAACAACTGCAGTCATCTTAAGTGCTTATTAATAACACACATACGTATTCATATACAGTTTTCTGTTTATACATATATATATAATTGTAGAAATTCACGCGCAACAATGGTTGCGCTTTTCGTATTCGTACATAACGAACACTTTACATATGTGCATGTTTTGTATACATAAATTTTTATTCAAATAGGCACATTTACCGCACTTCTGTGCTACGGCTGGTGCAGGCTGCCTACAAGATTGCGTCGTCTAGTCATCAAAATATGCACCGTAGTGCTTATAAGTCTTACACGTGGCAAATATTTAATGCTTGTTTTACAATTTAAAAACTGACAATATAATGATTTCTAGAACATATGAACATTAATATAAGACAACAACCAAAAAAAAAAAACACAGCTAAAAGCTGTAAGTATTAACAAGTTTTCGTCTTTGATTTGATATACTTACGTTTGAAAACATTGATTAGCTAATCCATGTATGTACATAAAATATAAATACTACAAAAATATGTACGAATGTGTTCTTCGTAGGCCCACTGTGGCAATCACGTTCGCCGCGCACGAAATGCGATAACATCAACGCACGCACAGACACATTCACAGAGATCTAAAAGCCAGCGCATACCAACACACACTCACTCACAGTGCCAGCCGCAGCCCAACATGACTTGACAAAGTGCTTCGCTCAGAGTCAGCGGGGCGGTTTCTCTCTCGCTCTCTCACGTTTTCTAGCTCTTTTGCAATTTTCATTCTCTGATAGCCCAGGCACGTCATCTGCTCTCTCAACTTGCTCACCGTTTTTGGTCTCGTGTTGTGTATATGCACACTCTTTGTGAAAAGTATACTTCAAGTGTGATGTGGCTTGTAAACACTTACAACAATATACCAAATTAGGCGTATATAAACTTCATATATATACAAAATTTTAAAATTAAGAAATAAACAGAATTTGTTATATTATCTGAAATATAATTTTTAAGTTAGAAAATCCCAAAATTATTAAATGTACAGGGTTTGTATTTTGTGTAGGGTATTCAGCTCTCCATACTTTGAATTCGGGTTCGCCGTCTTGGTTTTAATTTTAGCCCGTTCGCCGCGTATTTTTCATTCATTTCAATTCGACCGTTCGAAGTGAGCAGTTGATGTTTGCAGTCAACGCAAGTGTTTTAACAAAAAAAAAAAAAAATAATACAAAATTATAGCAACAGCCAAGCAAGTAGCAGCAACAACAAATTGTAGGCATACATACACACACATCTGAAAGTGCTGTGTAGTAAAATATACAAATACAAGCAAACGAAAAGCTCACAAACACGCGGGTGCTGGTGCTGGTAAAATTCCACTGTGAAACGAAGGAAGTTGTGTATTAATAAAATAAATATAAAAAAGCTTAAAGTGCAAAACGTGTAAATCGCAGCCGTGTGACAAAAAAAAAAACCAATCACGTTTTTCGACAATCGTTCGCTTTTGGTACTGTGCGGTGCGGAGCTGGTAGCGTGTGTGCGTGTTTAACAGAGAGCAAGTCCCGCGACCAAAACGAGACGCGAGTGCAAAAAATTTCAAGGTTTCGAACGCAGCAGCATCGCCAGCAGAAAACGTGTGGGCATCAAGTTAACACGGGCGGGGCAGACCAGGCTAATACAATTAAACATTGGCCCCGAGGCTTACAGTGGTACAACAAGTGTGGTTAAATTGACACATTGATAAACATCACGAAACCCCTACTATCGCTCAGTACAAATTAAGCCGCCTAGCACATACATACGTACACATACATAAGTATATCAGCGAGTACATAAAGGCGATCATAGTGTTGTGTACTTAAGGTCTTATCGCACCCGTTGCTGTCTCCGTTATCGGCACAGTCACAAAAACGCAAGACTAACGCTGCTGATAAACGCAGCACAGTCATCACTTACAGCCGAAAGACGAGTGATGCGCCTTATCGCGAACGGATTACTCCTTTAACAATTTAAACATAAACAGAAAGACAATTCGAAATGTTATGCTACATGTAAAACGGTTAGGGGTGTCGCAAGTGTGCAAAGAGTATTGGATATTTAAGTGTGATACAATAAATTGTTATAAAAATTAAATAGCCTAAAACTAAAATTCAAATATTTAAATTTGTAGAATATTTAAATACGTTGTTCAGCAAGTGGACTTGTGTAATATTAAAAGTGACCCCACCAGAGAATACAAGCAAGAAAATAATTGTAATTCGCCGCAAATAAATTCGCCGTGGCCGACAACCTGTTTGCTGTCATATAAATTTGTGCGCTCTTTCGCCGGCATTTTATCTTGTCTTTCCTGCATTGACGTAAAGAGCGATACCGTCCACCATTCCACCGCAACTGCAAGTAACGTTGACGCAGGAGCAGCAGCAGCAGCAGAGGACGGAGCCACGCAAAGCAGCCATCGCAATTTTGCCAAGGATCGCAGCCTCTAGCAGCACCAGCAGCCACCGCAGTCACAGCAACAACAACATGGAGCCTTACTGGAGCGAAGCAAACGGTCATGCCGCACATCCGGTTAAGTATGAGAGGTAGGTATAAATAAGGAAGCCTTTGCCACAGAAAACGACAACAACATCTACAAAAACAACAAGCACACTCACTTTCACCTGCGCGCGTTAAGCTTATGCATAATTTAGTTAGTGTTATTTTTAAAATTCATCTCTTTAAGTTTTAGCTTTAGTTTTCAACCGGCATTGTAACAGTTTATCATATGTGTGTCTGTGTGTGTGTGTGTGTGTGTGTTTGTGAGTTGCGATTGGGTATGGATCGTGAGGCTATTTTTGGCAGTTGAGCGAATTGAAGAATAAAATCAAGCGAAGAGCAAGTAAAAACGTGGGTAGACAGACTCGCGTTTGCTTGACGCCTTTGAATCTATTTTCAAAATGGATTTTTATTTTATGTATTTATTTATGCAAACATTTTGCTAAAGCACAAGCAAAAAACAACACACGATTGGGTAAACGTGACGCTCAGTTTGGGGCTTACCCCTCTCGCCTCTCGCCCCTCACCTCTCCCTTCTCTCTTCTCTTTGTATTTTTATTTTGAACTTGAATTTTATTTACCACGCCATTTCATTCCAATTGGAATTTTGTTTTTGCGGGCATTGGTCGATACACCGTACATACGTTTACATATAGTACATATATATGTATATATAATAATACAATACATATTACATAAATAAATAAAAGGTTGGGTTGAGACCGGACTGATTGGTTTTTATAAAGCCAGCTTATATTCCCACTAAATGTCAACGGCCAAAATGCTATAAGGCTATAAATAGCAGCAAAAACAGCCAATTGGCCCCGCATATTTGATTGGCTTTTGTGGGCGTGTTGGCTCCGTGTTGAGGCATACAAACACATACACATGCACACGTGTGCGTGCGTGTGTGCCAGTCGGTGTCCTTTTGAAGGTCAGCAACTGTTGTTGTTGTTGTTGCTGCTGTTGATTGTTATTCGTCTATTTTGGTGTCACCAGTGTCTAGTCCACACTGGCGCTGTGCCTTTAAGTGATTCCCAATAATGTGTATGCACACATAGTCACTTCCCATGCTGAATAATCAAATATGCAACAGTGATATAAATAATAACAGCATTATTTGCTTGAAAACTCAAAAATCCATTTACCACAGAAGCTGTTTTGCTCTTGTTTTCAAAATGACCCTTTCAAGATGTAATATGTCTGTATGTATATTAATTATGTATATTATTAGGCAAGCAATCACGTGAGCCATGACAACTGAAGGCGATATTAATTTATTATTTATTTTTTTACCATTTTGACAAAAATGAAATGCTTGTTTAAACCCTAAAGCCTGTTCTTAGGGATTTGTCTATAACTTTTAATTGTTAAGCGATCGCTTGTTATGGTTTCTAGGTGCTTAAAACAAAAACAAGTTAATTGACTAACGAGGACGAGGCTCTTGGCATTAGCGTCAACATTGTTATCGCGATCGTTGTCGTGCCCGATATCATTCAGTTCTTGGCAGTTTGCTTAAATCGTCACTTGGCACTTGAAGTAAACACGCGTCTACGAAAGCGTCGTATATCTACAATGTTTATAATTTGCTCTAACGCTGCTTTAATAAAAAACAACTTAACTACAAACAAGCCATCCATAAAAGAGATAAGCAAGCACGCGATAAAAGCTCGTGACGCACATCGCAGATGCCGGATAACTGATTTACCTAAATATACATATAAATCAAGGGAGTGCTGGTTGAGAGACAATGTGTGAGATCTCGGGTTTGTTGCACGACGAGGCAGCTGCTCCAAATGCCAAATATTCAAATACGCAGCTGTCTCTCGTTGTTTTCGATTTCGGGATCTTTGCGACAACGTGATCCCAACCATCCCGGCCGTGACCCAGTGATAAGCAAGTGCTTGGTGCTCCGCGATTTGTGATATGTAATAAGTGCCTCTCGATAATACCGTGCGACAGAATTCTGAGAAAGTGTGTTTGTTTGCTGACTACGTTTGTGTTACATGGCGAAGTCTCGACGGCTGCTGCAGACTCGTCATGTAGATTAAGTACGCCCAAATGTTCAGCAAGACAACACGTCGAAGCAAGCCGCAAATGATCGAGGATGTGCGTTTATTTAATACACACTTCAGTGATCTATTTAGCTTATATCAATAATAGCAATGTTTACAAACTAACAACAACAAACGCATGCTTGCGTTCTATAAATAAAAGTACAAATTTTATCTATACGCACATATCTACACACACGCACACACATATACATATATAAATTGGTACCTAGCGATCTCGCCATTCTTCAGAGCGGACACTTATTCTGATTTCAAATCGGATTCCAAATGCCATACGGAGTCGCGTCGCCTTATCGTCATCGTTCGACCATTGGCATCCCCGCCAGAGGCACGTACACATGATCGTTTCCATGCATGTTGTTTTCATACAAACCCATATATATATAAGTGTCTGAATATATATGCATGTGTGTACATACATCTGTATATATGTAGATATATACATATGCATCCACTTTATAGAGCTCGCGATCTCTCGTGCCGTTTGACAAACGTGATGCAAATATTGAGAAATTCACGAAATTTGTTATCTGTGTGTGTTTCTGTACGTGCATATGTGTATTTGTATATGTATGTGTGCTTCCTGGCTGTGCTTAATGCACTCAATGTTGGCTGGGCATGTTGTGAGGCGAGTCTCTGGGCCCGCCGGGGCCTGTGTGGGGCAGATGAGTCAACAGCGTCCATCAGATGGTGCTACGTTGCATTTGATTGCTGCTAAATGATTTAAATAGATGAATTTTTATGTCTTTTGACCCAGTTATGCTAAAAGTATGCCACGTGAGTGTGAGTGTATTGTGTGTATATATGTGCGAGATGTATATGTGAGAGTAGACGATGTTTTCGTAATGTCAATACCTTTGACACTATGACATTTTTTCAGATATCGAATAATGTGTCATAATAAAATACAAGTTTCTAGTGCCAATCCGCTTTTGTGCCTTTTATTTCTGACAATCTGCAGTCATTCACGTGGCTGATTCAAACGATGTTAATATCCGCTGCATCATCTTTTTTCAAACGCTACAAATACATATGCATATGCAGGCATGTATCTATGCATGTCTGTATATGGGCGCAACAAGAGGCGTATACGTAATGCATCAAATAAATCATGCAGCACTCACCGCTTGTGCTCAATTGAGCTTATTGCTGTTATGAATTGTTGTTGTTTGTGTTTATTGAATTGTTTACTGGATGTAGAGAATACATAAGTGAGAAAAAGTACTATTATAAGGGGTGGGAGGGGAGGTGGCTGCCGCTTGTTGCAGTTCAGTTCGCTGTCCCGCTGTTGCTAAGCACTCCAATTGACACGTGGACACGTTTTGCTGGCAAATCAGTTTACGCTCTGTTGACTTATTTGTGATGGATAAGCACTCTGCACTTCGCTTGGGCGATATTATGACGTGTCCAGGCAGCCATACACAAACATATATACTTATGCTTTTTGAAATTTTCAGTTGAACAGCTGCAACCGGTTAGCGTGAGATTTCAAGTTTTTCAAGCATAACAAAAACATCTCACGTGATCTCTGCTTAAGTAGTTTGTGTGAAACACTCTACTAGTTTTATTGCTAAAAATTTCCAGCACTCTAATAATTGTTTACGACTGTTGCTTGGCGGCTGGCGGCGGGCGGCTTGGCCTGCACTAGTATTTGTTTATATGGGTTTTATCTTATCAGCAGCGTCTCAGACTGCAGGTGCAGTCAAGGTTATAACGGCTGATGGGCGTGCCAGTGCCAGTCTCCCAAGTCGCAGGCTCTAATTGCTCCATCGTAAAGGCAGATCACTTTTGTTTTTCACTAAATGCTTGACGCTAATTTACCAAAGGCAAGACAACGATTTATAATATTTATATATGTGTTGACTTTTTGTTATTCCCCTGAAGTGCGTCATCGTTTTAGTGCTTTCGCTTTTCTATTAGGTTGGTTTTTTTTTTTTAAGCATTTCACAATTCGCAGCACCCATTTTCATTGCCGACACTCAACTAAAGCGTCAAAATCTGGAAATCTATGAGCTGATGCGAAGGTCTTTCTCATCTGACCCAGATTTTGTAACGGAAATGCTTGACATTGAAACAGTCGGACTTGTTTCTATAATTGTTTCTGCAGTCGTGGTAGCAATAAATTTGTTATAGAAATTGACAGAAATTTGTTTACACTTGGCCATTGCTTAGGTACGTATATATAAGTATATAACTCTTAAATATTCTACTCAGTCCATTTATTAGTCACCCTCCGACAAATACACTCGATCTGACATGTGTTGTTGACCAATCAGTCTTGATTTGCTTGTGGCAGCGCACGTACACAAATATTGTAAACTATTCCAAGTAGCTAGTCGCATTATCTTTATAGCAATTTAAATACAGTCTATAAGGTGGTTATTTCCAATGTATTGCGATTAGACTAACAAAACATTAGATGCCTACTTTGGACTTGTGCTATCTTAAAGTTATGTGAATCAATTCTGATAGTATTCGTGAATACACACTCATATTTACACTCCCTCATGTACATACATACGTATGTACACTTGAAATTTTAAGCCTATGTCACGTGTAGCGGAAAAGATATCTTATCTATGAAGTCAAATAGAACTGGAAACAATTAATCGAAATATCAATAGAATAGAATTTTAGGTTAACGCACGATATCGCCAGCAACTTTGAGGGCGTGCGTGTGCAAAAACGTTCAATTAGCAAATATATATATTTATACTCTACTCTATTGAAAGGGTGTTGTAATTTCGTCACGAAATGTGTATAGCATTAAAGTAGAGATCTTCGATTGTGTTGACTTTGATATCTGTTGCTCTGTCTGTTTTTAATCTCAACAAGTCGCTCTCTTTTACATAAAGCTGAAGTTTTTAATAAAACATCACTAAGATTTATCGCTCAACTAGTAAAACTCGGTTACCCTAAGGGTATTTACGCTTCGGCCCTCTAAAGATAACTTTCCTTTCGTTTCATTTAATGCTCCGATTTCCAATTAATGCGCATTCAAAGCGTGCTTCTGATGTCTGTTCATGCTCCTGGCAAGCAGCTTACGGCTGATCAACATTTAACGTCATTTGGCATACGAGCTAGATGCCGCATAGACGAATTGTTGAATACACTACAAGTTCGAGTGGCTCAAATCTATATATATATATGTATATGTGAGCGCCGCTATTCGTCAATTACTTAATAGCTCAAAGGTGCACGACGGCACGACATCGTCGACAATGTTTTGGCCCACTGGCCCCCAAATTCGAAAACGCCAACAAGAAAGCTTGCCAGTTTGGGCGAGCATAAGGGGCGTGTCCATTGGGTTCAATGTTCATTGTTTAGCGTTCAGGGAATCGCGTAGATATTTCATGAATCAAGCGAGTGATTTGGCAACTGACGCCGCTCGCTCGGTGCAAAGGCCGACTGTTACTTGAGTGCGGTAAAATAGGAACACGCCCTGCGCACGGGACTGCCACTGGGATGCACTGCCTGTTGGCCCTATATTGGCAGCCCAGATGACAGTAAATCAACTAGAGTGCAACTCAACTGGATCAGTTCTTAAGTGTATTTCAATATGCAAATAGATTGAACTGGCAAACAGCATCAAAATGAACTCTGATGTGCCAAAGTGCGCATTACTCATACGCAGTGTGAGCCCGGATCTGTGCGTGACATTTACAGCTTCCTTCGGCTTACAAATAAACCAATAAGTGGTCCTAGATACTGGCCAGATAGTCGGCGTACTCAGTAGTCGCAGCTTATAGATTTCACTACAGTCTGATAGCACTGCTGTGGGGGATAAGTAAACAAGCTCTAAGCGCCATAAGCTGGTGGGTACTGGTATTCACTACATATGTATGTATGTATGTATGTATGTAAGCATTTGTGTATACTTATATATGTACGTCAGTTGTTTACATACTCGACCAATCTTTGCGTGTTGGCGCTTATCGCAAATGTTGCTGGCATTCGCAACAAGTTTTCTAGCGTTTTCTGACGCGGCCTTTCCGAGTTGTTTTTTTTTTTTCTTCTTTCAATTCTGTTATTCTTTTGTTTGCTTTTCTTTTCTTTATTTTTATGTTTTGTGCCTTTATTTCTCTAGCTTGGTTTGTTTTGGTCAGAGATTGGTGCTCATTGAAATTGATTAAATATTTGCATTATTCTTTATTTTGTTTCACTCTTTTTTTATTTATTTTATTATTTACTTATTTGCCTCACTTGGCAACGGTTTTTGTTTTTTAATGCAACGAAAATTGCAACAATTTGTTTTGTACGCTGCACTTAAGTTTCTGGCATTTAAAAAGATTTTCATTTATAATTTTTCTGACACATGCTATCAAAACGTGTAGACTCTATATTTAGATTTAAAATAGAATGTATGCAGACTATTTGTTTAAACGTGTTGGCAACTTTCAAGTGCTGTTGTTGCTCGGCTAGAGAAATTATTTAATCTAACAGAGAGATTATTTATTTATATCAAAGGTGTTGATAACAAGCAGCATAACATACCACAAATTGGCGAAAAAAGAGTTTGTTTTATTTTTGTATAAGTGTAAGTATTTCTGGGTATAGGTGTGTGTGTGTGTGTGTGTGTTTGTGTTACCTGATTATATAGCTGAGTATGTTTTTGTATGAAAAACTTGTGTACACTATGCTAATTGTATTTTAACCACAAACAAATCAAAACAAATCGCTCGTTTGATTTTAGCCAAGCGACAACTTGGTGTGCAAGCATTGGTGGCCCTTTTCGGGGACTCTCGGATTAGCTGCTGGTTGACTACCAACTGTGGAACATTATAAGAAATGAAATGATATTGAGATATGTAAGAGAGTGTGAGTGAGGGATGCGCGACAGACAGAGAGTTTTGCTGTTCACAAATTGACATTTCGATTAATACATATTTCTTCTTTTTTTTTTTTTTCATTTTGCAGCCTAGGCTTATTTTTAATTTTACTTGAAAACAAATAAAGCATTACCCATAAAACAAAAAAAAAAAAAACAACACAATTTAACTACATATAAATATTTAGAATAATTAGCCTTACGTTTATATTTCTAAGTCAGTTTAAGTTATGCGCCTAATAAATGCATTACTAAAACAATGAAAACAATTGAAAAACAAAAAAAAAAAAAAAAAACAAAAACAAAAAACTTGACTAGCTTTTGAACAAGATTTGGACTTATTTGTGTTTCTTATCCTTCCCACTTCTTTTTGCATATGAAACAAAACGCATACGAATTATAGCGAAGCAGCTGTCTCCAGTTTTCCTTATTGCACAGAATCTAGTTTAAATTTTTCAACATCGGCAACAGCATACAGCGAGGATGATGCTGAATATGCCACCGGAAGACGTAATAAAACATCGAGGGTAAATATTACAATTTTAGAGCGAAAAATCGCGACACTAATCAAATTCGAAAACAAGATCAAAGGATCAAAAGAAAAAGCGCCCGAGCAACAAGTTCTCAGCTTGTACTCATAATGTAACTGATTACTGGCGACTGGCGACTGGCGACTGGCGACTGGTGACTGGTGACTGCCGACTGGCGACTGGTTACTGGCAATGGCAAGTGATGTCGACGACTACGCCCACTTTCACACGCCTACAACTCACACAGAACGCACACGCACAGCATCCCGAGAAGTCGCCGCCGCTTTTGACCCTTTTTTATTGTACGCAAGAACATGAAGATACAATAATAAAAATGAAAACAATACCTAAATTAGTAAAGTTAACGAAAATAAAGCGAAATTAAATAAACATGACAAAAAGAACAAAACCGAATACCACTGGCCAGAATCATTATTTAGCATAATGGTCCCGAAACTTCATAACCTTTTACTCACTAGCTGCTAGGCTCTGGTAAAGATCATACTAATGGTGCTCCTTATTTGTATGCTTCCACAGCAAGATCCATTGTCGCATCGCATCATTGAGAAGCGGCGACGCGATCGCATGAACTCCTGCTTGGCTGATTTATCCCGCCTCATACCGCCACAGTATCAGCGCAAGGGGCGTGGCCGCATCGAGAAGACCGAAATCATTGAGATGGCCATCCGACACCTGAAGCACTTGCAGAGCGAGTGCCTCCAAAAGGAGAGCGAGTACCGCAGCGGTTACATGGACTGCATGAAGGAGGCGGCAAAGTTCCTCTACGATAGCCAAATGCAGGACTTTTGCTATCGACTTTTGGCCCGCCTGCAGGAGCATATTGACGAGGTGTTCAAAGGTATGTAACCAAACTTTCTATGAAATCAATCACTTTTTATACTAACTTTTTTTTTCTCTGCTTTTCTTAGCTGACTGTTACAAATCCACCCGCAGCTGCCACATGCCGGATAATGTGAGCGCCTCCAGTGGCAGCCCGCATCAGGCATATCATCAGCCTCTGTGCCATTTGCGCGAAATTCAGGGCGCCTCTGAACACAGCAGTGACCATAATGATGTCAAAGATCTGAGTTTTCGCAATCATCTCAATCAGCTGCAGCGTAGTCATCAAGCAGCCGCGGCGGCCGTTGCTGCTGCCGCTGTGACCAATGCCAGCACTTCCAGTACCAGCATGGAGCGCCAAAGTCCGAGTAAGCTTGCTGTGGGCAGCGGAAATGGCATGGTCAATGGCATCGCTACCGATAATGTACCCACCAATTCAACAGGCTCCAACACTGCAAGCAGCAATGCGGCTAGTTCGACTACATCGACATCCACTTGCCACACGTTGGCGAAGACGCCTGTGGCCGCTGTTGCCATTGCTGCCCACCAGCAGCCGCATCAGGCGCCAGTGATTACATCGACGGCGCCTCATCATCACACAGACAGTAGTCAGCACGATTTTGAGTCTTCGCGTGAACCGTTGCTTCATACGGATACCTCCAACATGCACTCGCCCCCACCGCGGGACTCACTGCTGCAGCAGCATGCTCATTTGGCCCATAATCATCACACAACTGATAGCCTAATGTCGCTGCGGATGCGCAACTACTCGGAATCCTCGCATGAGATTGAACACAACAACAATTATAAGTACAAGAACCACATCAAGGAGCGTTTTGTGCACGAGCTACACGACGAGGAGACGAGCAGCGAGCACGCCCCCCACCTGCAGAGCGAGCACTCGCACTTGCACGCACTTTCCGAACACTCCAAGGACGGTACCGAGCCTGAGATAGCACCCATAATGGCCAAGAAGCGTAAGCTGGCTGAAGCAGCCTGCAATGGAAACCTTCCGCTGGATGTGCACAATGAGGCTAGCAACACAATTCTGCCACGTCCCATGGTGTTGGTGCGCGACGAAAAGTCCTCTTTTAGCTTCAGTGATATTAAGGACATCAAAGCGGAGCTACACAATAGCAACTCCAACTCCGGTCCGCTACTGGCTAAGCTGAGCGCTGCAGGCGCACAGTTAAGCACACCCAGCAGCACGACGGCGCCCCTGCCACCCCGTCACTCGTTTACTGTACCTATCTTTGCGTTGCACGGACAGGGTAACTACTATGTTCCACTTAATGTGGATTTCAATGCACTGGTGCCGTACCTCAACGGTGTAGATCTGCTCGAGAAGAGCTACACAAGCATGCCCGTGGTGCATCCCATCAACATAAACGTCAACTTTATGTCCAGCTCGGCATCATTGTTAGCGGCTGCTGCTGCTGCCGCTGCTGTTGCTGCCGGTAAGCAACAGGCCGTGGTCGCCCCAACCGCTAACACACTAAGCGCTAGCTCAGCAGCCGTGCAGGCGGCTGCTGCTGCCGCTGTGGCTAAGGCCAAGCTGGAGCAGGCCATTAGCAACAGCTGGTAAGCTCCGCTGACTCGAAAGGAGGGGCGCACCACAGACAACGGAAGAGAACAAGTCTACCTCACCTCTTATGTGAATAATCATTAAATGATTAATTCCTAATATTGTGCGAAAATCAATCTGTTGGGAGTCGCTTGGCTGCAGCAGTATAAACACACACACACACACACACACACACACACACACACACACACACACACACACACACACACACACACAGACAATTATTATTCTGTATAAATAAGATGATTAAATTGAAGGACAGTGAGCAACCAGTTATGAACTGGACGCAGCCTTTGAGGCGCGCCTGTTTATTGATCCACTGAGCAAAGTCTACATCAAAATTGAACTGTTTTAAGCCAACTTAATGTACATTTTGTTTACAAATAGTTTCAATAATAAAAACAAATGAAAAATTCTACAAATTTCTAATAGAAATATACACATTGAAATGTGCATGTTTGATGCCAAGAACCAGCCCACATTAAAAAATCTAATGGATTTAAATTATAATTAATTGTGAATTAAATGTATTTTTAGATGTGTAACATATTTTTTTTTTTGAAACTTAAATAAGTGTTGTGGTTTCAAATCAGGCTCCAAGTGCGTTTTTTAAATAAATAAATATTCATAAACCACTAGTCAAATCAACATTTAAGAACGAAAAAAAAAAAAAAAAAACAAAAAGAAAAATTTTAAATGTTGATATGTATATATTATTATCATACAAATTATATACAAAATATTCGTTTTAAGTTTTATTATTTAGCAACCAACTTTTTTAAGTTCTTAGGGTTCAAGGTTTTTGCTAAAATCTTGGGCAAATCTACAAAATACGTCAATTTCGTTCAAGTTTGTACCAAATTTCATTTTCGAAATGGGGACTTTTACTTTTGTTTTAAATGAATATGTAAATACATTTTTTATCACTGTTTCTGTCATTAAGTTTATTAAATAAAATATTTGAATGTTGTGACATGTTATATGACCTTTAAATAATTAAACGAGCAAAATAAAGAAAAAAAAAAATCAAATTATTTTCTAAAAATGCTTTTGCTGCTTAAAAACTAAAAGTTTATGCACAATATATTCATGTTTTATGGATTTTATGATTATTACGTTAACTGCAGTACAATTTATATAATACTACTACATTACTGTTTAATATATTTTATATATGTATGTATACTTACGTAATAAAGTTGAAATGAAAATTATTGAACAAATGCATTTTCATCCTGTCTGCTCGTCTGCTACTGGGCTATTGAAGTTCTAAGAAGTTCTACCTGTCTATTATTTACTTTGTGAGCATGATTGTCAAAGGTCATGCTTCTGTTTGTCTTGATAGACACTATCACACTGGAGAGAGAATTTCATTCGATCGCGATAGAAAACTGAACTGGACCCAAATTCAAAAGATATAAGAACAGTGATATTAAGATCGTATGTTGTTCTTGGAGGCTTCAATCTCCCGGATGACGATTGATCATCGCCATTAGATTGAAAATTTCTGTTGCCCTGTTCTCAATCCTGCATATGAAGTAAACGCAATACAGAAATTATTACAATACAAATTTATGCAGAGTCGAGTATTTGTGCCTTTTTGTTCTATGCAATTTCGCAAGTCGATATAACAAATCACCCGCAGATCGAACATGAACCACGAACATTATGAAAGGCATGTTTTTAGAATATCATAATCAAACACATGTACATTTATGTACATTCAAATGTGTTACGCCGTAACTATGAACACACTGTTCAAATAGTAAAAAGTGTATATTTGTTTCAGCGCTTTTGACTCATAAATAAATATATTATTTATACTATATATAAATATATATGTGTATGTAACAGACAGAACGAAGCCCCTCCGACCCCATAAAGTTTATACATCCTTGATCAGCATTAATAGCCGAGATGATCTAGCTATGTCCGTCTGTCCGTCCTTTCGTTCGTTCGTTCGTTCGTCCGTCCGTATGTATGCAAGGTTATCAGAACCTATAAGAGCTCGAGACTTGACATTTTAGCTGTAGGTCCACTAGGTCCACTAGGAGAGTGTCCGCGCAGATCGAGTTTGTTTCCGATAATCGATAACTTACTCCGTTTCCAAGCAATCGATAGAAATCTATATCGAAATCCTGTTTTTTGAGCAATTTTTGGTGAATAATAAGAGCAAGTCACCAAACATGATCTAGAATAGTATATATAGTTGTAGTTGGTGTTGGGAGTAGAGAGTTAAGGGTATCCCCTAGTCGGTCGCTACCGACTAGAACCTCTTACTTATTGTTTGTAGCATTAGTTCTCATAATGTAGCTTGTTTGTAATTTCTCATATGCTTTGATAAATAGAAATATGTTATTTATGGATCTTATCGCAGTCGAACGTATAAATTATAACAAGTAGAAATGCTGTAGCTGAGTGTGCTCGACTACAAAATATCCTGTACCACTGAGTCAACATTTTACTTTGGTTTTTGGCATTACACTTTGAGCTCTTAAAAAAAATAAATAAAATATTTGAACTGAACAAATGCTGATTTGACGACATACCTATCAAATAACTTAATTTGGATAATACCATAAATTATAATAAAATATAAACCTATTACTTATGATTCTACACTAAATCAAAGCTAAATACAATGCTTGTTTCAATACTTACTGAAGGGTAACATTGCTATAAATATATTTCCCGACAACGAATGTGGGCAATGTTAACTATAAGTAATTAGTTTATTATTGGTAACAAGTTCGATTTATAAATATAACGCAGCTCTAACAAAGACAATTAGTTACAAATAATCCATCTTCTCCCTAATTGTTGTCCTTCTGGGAAGCCTTGTGTTGGAAGGTTCGAAGTAAGGCTATATTTATCTTTTACGTCAATGTGGATTCCAGAAAGCTCATTCAAGTACTTATGATACATTTATGCACAACCACTTGCCCCATACATGTGAAATTAAATGTTGATTAACTTCCCCACTTTCGGTTCGATATTACAAGGCTCTAGCTTTAAATATATTTTATTTTCATTTTTTGTGAATAGGGAAGGTAGCTAAAAAATACAAATTTGATTTATAGTGCTGATTTGTGAGACATAAATCACATAAAAAGTCTCTAGCTTTTGTTGTTTTATATCTCGTCGACCTGATTCATAATATATCAGCTTTCTGGGCTCGGACATTTGCAAAAACCTTTAATAGCCGTTATTAGCCGTTATTAATAGTTGCAGGGTATACAAAATATAAAAAGCGTTTTCTGAGTAATCAGTTTTAAAATATTTTCACATTACGAAATGTAAGCAAAAAATAACAGATTTTTATTCCAGTTTGTTTTAATGCTGCAAGGCTTCTACATCCAGGCGGATAACTGGAGTGAGTTATTGGTGTGTTTTTTAAATGACGACGATTTTCATTGTTTGTTTTTGTAATGAGGTTATCTTTTGTAAGGAGCCTAAATCGCAGATCGTCAACGTCAATAGCTCAAAATTTAACTTGTATTCGTTCGAAATATTTCTCAAGGGCAAGACATAGTTGAACTTGTTCGAATTCCCCTTCTTTGGTAAGTGAGATTCAAATTCCATCAGGGAGCTCATGAATTGCCTGGCCTGACAAATCAAACCAGATGTGCTGGATTCACAGCATAAACTCAACGTTAAAGAATCACCTGACAAAAAATCTGACCTCCTTATGCGCACTTGGCATGTTGTTTTGTCCACTAATCTACTATCCTTGCGCATCTGCTTTTCGGTGATGCTATTTTAATTTGTTTTTTTCTCATAAAATACTCAATTATTGGTATGGCTGTTGAGTAGAGCAAGACAGTTGCGAGTTCGAACCCAGGGAACTTCTTTTTTAATTTATCCTTATTACTTGAAACGAGTGCGTTGCGCGAACTGCATTTGTTGTTGGAATGAGGGGTTTCAGTGTACTCCCTAGTCGGGAGCTCCCGACTAGAAACTCTCTACAATGAATTAAAATTAAAGCTTAAGTATTTTTTTTTGTGAATTCTAGATAATAATAATGAGGAATGTAGCATTTGCTCTTGGTATACTCAGTGCACTCATTGCTGCAATAATGGCAGATATTTCCGGCTGCGATTATTTTGATACTGTCGACCTTACGAATAGCCACAAATTCGAGAATGGAACATATCTATACGAGGATATATTAATACCAAAGGAGAAAGTCGGCCTATACGACTACCAGATATTGTTTAATGGGGACCGCGAGCCGGTGCCCGAGCACACAAGAGGATGTGCCTGCCAAATCAAGTCGTGTGTGCGCTTTTGTTGTGATCCTCAAAAGTTACTTGTTAAAGGAGAGGGGATATGTGAAGGCAATATTAATTTAAACTATAGCTCTATTTTGAATATAACAATGCATGATGGCGCAGAAGTAGAAAAGGATGTTATGGAATTTATTGTGCAAAAGCATCTCCCTGTGCCTTGTAACGACCATCTAATGCTTAACGCCGCTGGAAACGAAAACCATGGTTGGACTTTGTTTGAGGTTTGAGTTTTTGACAATTCTCCTTTTTATTAGTTCAATATTGTTAATAATCCAGAACGGTACTCTGGTCCGTCATTTCGATGGAGAGCACTTATCTAAGCGTGACTATTGCCTGCAACCAATTCATCGACCGAATAGCCAGCTCCTCTATGAACTACAACCTCACCATTGCCTGCCACCAACTGAGAAGACCAACGCATATAGTAAGATACATCATTTTCGGCATTTGAGTAGCAGAGTTAAATCATAGCTGTATGTATTATATATATGTCACATTGAATGCTCGAAAAACCAATAATACAAAACTAATTAGTTGTGCCTGGCATAATAATGGTATTCCTTTCAATTGTGATTCGAAATTAGCAAATAAGCAAAACTTATCATTATCTGTGTTCAAAAAGCGAAGCATGAAAAGGAACACATTCCAGGTTTAAAGGAATCACATTCAAAATCAGTATTCCATTTAATTTTAGCGGCTACCGCATATCCCAGTAAAGGGTATCATCCCGGCGATTATGTCTCAAAGGTGTATTGAATTGTTTATCTCTTAACATTCCACTTAATACTTACAGTCCAGACGGTGTCGATATTCTGCCTGGCTATTATAATTGTGGTATACCTGTATCTGCCGAATTTTAAATCAATCCACGGAAAATGTTGCACATGTTACTTCACTTGCCTAACTGCCAGCTTCCTCATGATTGTTGTTGTAAGTTTTGGATGGGTCGACAAAAAATACAGTCTCATATGCTTTTTGATAGGTAAGTCCGATTGAGATATTATATATTCTATAGTGTAATTTGTATTTCAGGTTATAGTGGCTATTATGCAATCATGGCAACATTCTTGTGGCTTTTGTTGATAAACTACAATTTGTGGAAGACATTTAACAACATTGGAGTTGGCCGAAGGTCCCGATTTATGAATTACAATATTTTTGTTTGGAGTGTTGCGGCCATCTTTCTTATGATTACATGCTTGGCTGATTTCTTATACGAAGTCGATGAGAATGAGGAGGATCCAAATATGTTTATATTTAAACCTGGCGTTGGGCTTTATTCGTGTTGGATCAATAGTAAGAAATTTCTGATTTTATTAATATATCTATTTAACTTTAACTTTTTGCTTAGTTTATGATGTGTCGGCTATGATCTATTTTTATGGCCCAATATTACTTTTGATTGTATGCAATACAACATTTTTTATTAAAACTGCAATGCGGATATTTGTGCAAAATAAAAATAACAAACGCCAGTTGAAAAAAACGGAATGCCAGCATAACTTAAGGAATCTGACCAAGTAAGCTTTATTAACAATTTATCGTATGGGGTCAGTTATTGCACATATTATTTTTTAGTTTCGAAATGTTTTTTCGTTTATTCATTATTGTGGGCGTGATCTGGTTTCTTGAAATCATTTCATATCTTTGTACACTTTTTAACGTAAATTCAATGTGGGTTAATTTTGCTGATATGCTCACATCTGGCCAAGGTGTCATATTGTTCGTAGTAACAATCATAAAAAAAGATGTCTTAAAACCCATTGCTGAACGGTGAGTTCTTCTCGCATTTTAATTTAAACAAATTATAATTTCTTAATATTAGAATTGTAAAAAGGAAGTCCCGAACTGATATGTCACATACGTCAACATCTACTCCACTAACTGAAATTTGTTTGCTGCCAAAAACTGAGAGAACGTCTTCAGAGCGAGCACAATAGATAAGCAACAAAATGTGGTTATGTTTCTAAGACCCAGAAGAGCATTTGAAAGGTTGTCGGCTTAAATTTAAGAATATAGTACATACCCCATAGATGGTATTGACATTTAAGCGATAGGTTTAAATTTTGTAACTATTGCCCATACAAAAGCTTAATAAAAAACAAAATATAAATGCTTGAAAAGCACATATAGTTTATATTTAAATGTTGGTTGTCATGAATTAGCAATGTATTGGCCATATTAGCTTCTCAAAATGTCAATCACTCACTCAAGTCTTAATATCTAAAATATGATTAGATTTGTATATTTAAGTCAACCCATAGGACAGGCTTATCTAGCTATGTGGCAACATATTTCTAAGCCCACATTCATATTCTTTTACTTATTTATTTAAAGTTGAATTTAGTATGATGTGAAATATCAAAAGTATTTTAGTATATACAAATGCGTTATTGTATGTATGTCGTAAAACTAACTACTAACTGTAGTATAATTAAAGGATTTCAGTCAAAACTAGGACGCATTTTAAACTTTTGCAAAAGCGTTTTGTTAAATTAAAAAAGTTTTTTAAAACTAAATACAGCACAAGTTATTGTGTTTAAAACTGAACTAGATGCACTTGTACTTGGCGCGGGAACGGCAAAACTGTACAACAGTTTTTAGTTGATCGTGCGCTTCAGATGAAACTCCACCATGTTGTCCAAATCGCAAATAGATGATTTCGACTTCTTCATATCTGAGTTTAGTACTCGCAAATGAGAGGTATAATCGGGCAGCCGGTTTAGACTGGCTGACATTTCCTGAGCCATCTGTCTGGCCACCTGAGCAAAAGTCAAACGAGATTTCCCCAGCCGTTTAAGGGGGCTAAACAGTTCGTGCATTTCTTTGAGTTCGCCATAGTCAAGTACCTGCCATTGTCCACTTTCCATGTTCCAGGTGAAAAGAATACGACACTCGTATTGTCGATTGTGAAAAACACAGCCCATGCGACCAGTGCAGTACATACAATTTGTTGGAGTGGCAGGCATTTGATCACGTGCCGAGAATTGTGCCATGAGCATACAGCTAATAGTTTGGCTTAGTGGGCAAACACTGATGAACTCATAGGCCCAGTCGTAAAATACATTGTAGATCTTTTGATGCTTTTGACAGATCATGCTTATAACATAATATGTGAAAGTCTCAAGATCGAAGGAGTGCTGTGTTATAACTACGCTGCTGCAGCGCAAGCGTTGAAAGGATGCCTGTGAAATCATTTGCATTTCGGAATAGCAAGAGCCGTGCACCTCCATGGGAAGCGAGGTATGATAGCCCGGGGAGATACAATCGTCTATGGATAAAACAGTATAAGTCAAATACGATATACGACATTATATATTGTAATGTTTGGAAGGCTTACCTTCTTCACTCGTAATTACAGACGTGGCATCGTCCTCATCTACATAGCGACGTCGCAGCTTCTTGGTGCACACCGGCTTCTCTGGCATAACTCCACCTTGCACGGGCATTTCGACAATGCGCTGCTCATCACGCCGCGGCGATAAAAATGACAGCCCGGCGTTGGGTGACATTGATCCTCCAATCTCAAAGCGCTTGGCCATAGATACCTGCAATGGGGATAATGCACCTAAAGGTCCAACGGGCTTATAACTGAGCATTTGTTGTGTCGCCTGGGACAGCGGCGGCGACTTTTGATTGTAAATTTGAGCAGCAACCGTGGCTGCATTTGCATTGCGGCTGGGTGACCGCATTAGACTCGAGCTGGAAGGCGGTGAACGAAATCCCAAATGCAGCGGCGGTGGCGGGGTATGTGATGGCTGTGCTGGGTGTGGAGATGATGATGGGGAAGCACATGGGGAATTGTGAAAGTAGTGTGTCGTTGGTGAAAAACGATGCAGACTACGCTGGCCAGATGAACTAGCGGTTGATGGGCTAAACGTTGTACGTCCTGCTGAACGAATTTTCGTGAACGGTATGATGTTTTCAGAGTTATCCTCAGAGAATTCATATTTTTTATCAGCAAGTCGACGTTTGCGAAAAGTTGAAATCTTTTCACATTTTTCGTTGTCTTCGGAGAACTCGTAGGCATTTGATTTGTCTGTCATTGAGCTGGAAGCCGATGTGTTCTACAAAATTTAAAATTATACTATGCATAAGGCGCGCATAACATGGAAAGCTTACTTGCATATCAATTGTTGTGATTCCGTTTCGATAAGATCTAGTGACAATACGCTGATTGCGCTTCCTTGATTGGGTGGATTCATTGGTGCCAACAACATTTTGTATAACTACTGGTAAGGTCGTTTCCAACAGTGTCATACTAGACGCAGCTACGCCGTTGTTGCAGTTGGACGAAAAAATTAACTTTTCGTAGCCGATGCTATTGTGTTCTGCATTGCTGCGCTGTTGTATTTCGTTGTCTCTATTGTTAATGGCATTATTAGCGCGGTGAGTATGATCAGTTTCAATGTCACTGAAATCCGCAATAATGCGTGCTACAACGCTGTGCTCACTATCCGCTTCAGAACCAGTAAAGGGGACCGAGCAGCGATCTTCCTCGCTGGCTAGTGGAGTGCGTGGTAGCAGCAGTGTTTGCTGAGTGCAGGGCAGGCTATAATTTTGCTGTGGCAAGGAGCTGCTATTGGGTACGGCCGGCGTGTCCACGTCGATTCGCAGCATGTGCATGAAGCCATTCGAGATAATGAGAATGCGCTCTGGACAAAGAAGATTTATTGTCGGCTCGAAGCGCGGGTCCGTTTCGGTCGAGGAATACTTTGTGTGCACTGTCAAATGGCAATTTAGACAGTGTGCGTTGTAAAAGGAATCTGAAAATATATAATGTAGGTTATTGGGCCATCAGTACATATGCATTAATGTTAATCACATGGACCGTCATCGCAAAGCTTTCGACACTCCAAACAACCAAGCTTAGGAACTTTGACATATGTTATATAGCTTTCTTCGCTCTCTTCCGTTGCAGCGCCATGTACTACCAGAATTTGCTGGTCTGCATTTTTCCACTGTGTCATGGTGACCGACTTTAGATTGTCCACCACATGATCATCGAACAAACGGCGCGAGAAAAAATATCGCAGTTTTTTGTGGGGTTGGAAGAGCCAAAAGTAAAGACTGTGTGGTGGAAAATACAGATGTTTTAATGCTGTTTATATGTCAATGCGATCACTTACGTGTACTTGTAGCCTACGTTAAAGGAGTAGTGGTTCAGTGATGTATTGTCGTTGCACACGACTCGATGGCTGATCATGTACTGCCCACAAGCAGTCAGTCCCATGAATATGTGCCTGGAAGAAATGGTCTTAGAGCGAGTCTTGGGACTGCCCCATCCTTTTTGGGGGCGCTTACCCTTCTAACGCATTGCTTGCCAACACGTCCTTGAGATATAATTTTAATCTATTTGGCACTTGGTCGTAAGGAAGTTTCTGTTTTTGGCCCTCCCGTGATTGACCTGAGAAAAATCCTGTGCGCTATTGGAGTTTGGGTGCACATTTATTAGAAGTGAACTTTTGAGGATCCTATGTACATACAAACATACGTATGTATGTAGTCCACATACCTCTCTGTCGTACAACATTTGTACCAGATTTCGCGTTCGCGATTGCGTCTGCGATGGGTGAGTTTGCGTGTTGGTCGGCTCCTCAGCCTCATCAGAACTATCCACCGTGGAGATATCATCGTCATCCGAAGAAACCCCCGACAATGACTCGACGTAATTTTGGTAATCAGTCTCCATTGCCTCACAGACTCGAAAATCAGACTTAAAAATTTACCGACAAAAGCAACAACAGGGCCACCGTAACACAAATATCCACAAGAAGCTTTTAACGCGGGCATCAGCGACGGCAGTTAAACGCCGCCGCACACATCGAATCCCGATTGCTTTGTTGCACAGTCTTTTATATAAAAATTTACATAGGAAGCGAAAATTTCTTCGTTTATTCAGTTTATTCAGTTTATAGATGGTAATTGTGGTGGCTAGCCGATAGGCGGTGTGACCGTTGTTATTATATTTATCGATAACATTAGCTGCCGCTATTTATTTTTGTTATCTGGCAAGGCTGATTGCGCGCCAAAAAAAAATGTTTAAATCATAGCAGTAAGTAAAATTTAAATTAAATGATTATGCATAGTACATTTCCCACAGTGGGTATATTCATTAAATACAATAAATAAATTAAGACTAATTTGGCATTTCTACTGATCATTCCAATGGCGCTACAGTTTCTTTTTCTGGCTTTTTAGGATTCGCCTCGATTGCTTCTGCCACACGTATATTCTGTTTGCGTCTTACACTGTAGAACGGCTTTGGCACCTCTGCAGTGGGCTCTGCGCCCATACCCGTACTCACTGCTGGTGGCTGCGGTAGAGGCGGCTCTTCGTTCGTTTTGTTGAATATAACCCAATTATCAGGCCTGTTAGTTAAACGTAACTTAGTATTTTTCAGTGCTTCTTCCTCATGCTGTTCTTCCTTTGAACTCACCTGTCCGGTTTTGTAAGCACGGTTATAGGCGCAAATGCTAGATTGGAAAATTTTTGGGGAGCTGCACTAACAACTGTCGATCGTTCGTCATAGTCCTCGGTTTCGGCCAATATATGCCCGCCCAGCTGTTTCCCAACGCTGTCCGGAAAAATCGTCACTTTGCTGTTAGTTGCGCTTCGGCTTGAGGATGTCAGTATTGGTTTGGGCATTTCTGTCACGTACATTATATGTGTCTTGTTCTTCAACATGGGCAGTACGAAGTTGTCGTCCAGGTAAGTTATATTCGAGGTGGTCGTAGTTGAGTTTGTCGGTTCGTCGTTGCCTGAACTGTTCCTATTGTATGTCATCGAAGATGTCGTCATGCCACTCGTCTGTTTACCTAATTTGGTGAAGTCAATGGTTTTGTTAAGCTCGTCCTCGTCATATACGTAATCTTCATTGCTCTCAAGTGTACTCTCATCGATGGTAATATTGTTCAGCGTTCGGCTCAAAAAGTCGTAGTCCCGTACGATATCCAATTTGTGGTCCGTATTCGAAAAGTCATTGTTGGCACCGCTTGCCTCTTTTAGTTCCGGCATGCGAGCATAGTACGTCTGCGTCTGGGTCAGTGGTCTGTGGCCCGCAGTGCCAGTAGAGAAAGGACTAAGGTTTTGGGTCAGCTCCCGATCGTAATATAGTTCGCTCTGGCTTTGCGGGTAGTCCGGCCTGTATGGCGATTGGGAAGCCAGGCCGTAGCTTCCAGCAAGGTTTTGCGGGCGCGGGTAGGAACTAAAAACAGGATTTACTTCAGGACGCGGACGTATATTAAAACTGAATGTGCTATCGGCGCCATTTGCACTGGCCACACCCGAAATGCTGCCAAAGTGTCCAGAGCTAACGGCGCTGCTGGACGCATGCAGATAATTAGATTGGGAGCTTGCCCCTATTTGGGAGCTGCTTGTAACCGGGTGTGCTTGTGAGAAAGGTGGCCGTGGTGCATACGCTGAGCTGGCTATAATATGTGAGCCACCACCGCTGATTGGACTGTTTATCACATTAGTTTCCTGATAAGGTCGCTCTTGGTGGATCGATGAAATTGGACTTGGCTCCGGCGCCTGTGTGGGTCGTCGATTGGCATTTGGATTTAAACTGTTGGTGGCAAAGCTTAAAAAGTTTTGAAAAATGTTCGGTGCCCGTGTTGTGGTGCGTCTGTCATCGTTGTCGGTTAAGTAAATAATTGTCGGTGGTTTCGTTTTCTGTGACTGTAAGATTGGGTCCCTTTGTGTTAGATAATACCCGTAACTGGGCGTAGTGCTGCTATAGTCCATATAGTGTGGAGCGTAGCTATTTTCGTAGTTGTTATAGGGCCTATAAATGGTCGATGTAGTGTAGTCGCTATGTTCTGAACCGAGTGGTTTCGTTATTGGACTTTTGTTTGTCTGTCGTATATTTATCTCAATTTCATATTGGTCATTTGCGTTGGGTCCGTTTACAACTACCTTTTGGGGATAGGCGGGTCTATTTTGGTAATGGCTGCGCAGCTCCACGCCGCGTTTCGTTGTTTTGGACGATTTAGACGATTTTGTGGTACGACTGACACGGAAAAGGCTTGCAGTTGTGCTCGGAATTGCCTTTGTTGTAGAAACGATTTGGGCTGTTGTGCGATTGCGTTGCTTGTGCAACAGTCTAGTGCCAAGTACTGTGTCAGGTGTTTTCGATTTAATCAGTTCCTTGGAATTTTGCACAGCACGCTGCACTCGTTTGCTATTGCTAAGGTCCCCAGATGTTTGTCTTAGTGGGTCAATCAAGTCGTCTGCGTCACTGTTTTGTAGATGGGCTTCTTTCGTGATTGGCGTCGTTTTTGTAGGTCTGTCAGTAGTTATCGGAGTATAGTTCGAGTGTGTTTCATGAAAAGTGTGGGTATCTCGGAATTCTGGCAAGTCTGTGTCATTGGAGTACGGTTCGGTTTCTGTATCCGAAAGTATTTCGTGGCTTGTCTCTGTCGTTGTTGTGTTGCCGTCCACGGCACTGCGTAGCTCGATTGGGACATTGTTTATAATCACTGTTCGCTTCGATGTAGTTCCTCCTGGTTTTCTAGTGATCAAGTTCTTAATATTAATAGTTATTTTGGGTGATTTGTCTAGCTTGTTGTTTATTCCGGTGACAGGTATCTTCCGAGTAGGTGTCACATTTCTATTGTTGTTGATGTTGGTCTTCGTCGTGGTCAGAGTCTTTCGTTTTAGGTCTAGTTTGTCGTTAATTTTGGGTATGCTTCCATTTTTTGGTCGCTGAAAGCCCGTAGCTGAGTTGGGACTAAAGTCCACATGAGGCTGGCTAGGCTTTACGCGGTTTGAAAAGCCCGCCTTATCTTCCTTCAGATTTGACGTAAAACTCATTTCATTTTGGGACAGCTCCGGTTGTACAATGTTAAAAACATGATCGGGCTGATGCTTGGCAGCTAAAAACGGATCTTGCTCTAACCAAGGACTAAGATCAATGGACCCCAGAATGCCAGTGCCGCAGTTCTGACGTTCGTTGTCTGTAAACTCAGCAGGAATAAAAATATGTGGCTGGAACGTGCCCCCACCCACTGCACGGCATAAAACTTGCGCTAGCGATACTCTCCTTAGCGAATGGATCTGCGCTGGTGTGAATGAGCTCTCAAAGCCGCCATTCTCGTACCAGAATCTATCACCACGACGCGAGTTACTGAACTGCTGAGCTATGATGCAGGCAAAAGTAGGACCAACCAGACCACCAACTACGGGTCTTTCCGCAATACCACCGACAAATAGATCGATATCGTGAACGCTCCGGTAGGCGTGGCCAATTCGTTTGGCCGACTCTGGACCCACTACATTGGCTATGACAGAGATAAGGATGAGAAGTATAAGTATGCTGAACGATCCACTAAGGCACAACATTACCAAATTCATCCCAGCTTTGAATAGGACTCAGTCCACAAGGAACACGCCACGAGGTGTACGGAGCTAGGCCATGGTCCCGCCCACGCTGAATGTTGATAGCGGCCAAGTCTAGGCCAAAGGGAAAGCCTGGTGTCTGAAACAGATGGTTGGTCAGCTCAGGCGTTATAAATTCGTCGCGTTTGAGCGCGCGCTGCGAAGCCATTCCTCGGAGCAGACGATGCAGTGAGCCAGCAGTACCAATGTCACCGTTCTGGAACTCCTCATGCAAACTGACATCTAGAAATAAGGTAAGCATAGTACAGCATGCTGATGGATTAGCATTTAAGAATATCGCTGAAACTTACTGTTGTTGATAACATTGTGATGGCGGTCGCATCTCATATAGGAATTCTGCACCAGTGAGTGGCCAAATCGAAAGGCTGCTGATGAGAACGCGTTGGCTACGGTGGGATTGACTTTTGGATCATAGCCCTCGTAGAAACCGGTGCTCAGTAGCTCCAAATCGAACAGCTTACACACTTCTTTGCCCAGTATCACTGGTAGGAACTCTCTATATGTGATGTGCTGAAACATGGCACCCACAATTCTTCGCGTTTCCTGATAGATCTTCTCGTCGCTCCAGTGTGGATTCAGCTCACTCAACTCTAACGCAATGCGATTGTGCTCGCCGACCCACACATGATGCATGGCCAGCAGACCAGGCTGTTCGCCGCTACGTCCGTCACCGGATCTGATGCACTGTGTCGCGATAGCGCCGCGCTGGCAAACATCATCAGAGGGATTGCCACGGCCATAGATCAGTTGGCCATTACGAAATATACGTGCGTTGTCCGAGGACTTGGCACTGTTTGAGTAAATGGGCGAAGCATCAATATAGGACGTTGCTTGATTGGTTTGCTCACGCCAGGATAGAACACAGTCGCGACGTTGTGCAGGGGCCGAACGCAAAAACTCCAAGCAGCGAACCTTGAGTGGCGACAGCCATGGATCATCCAGTGGCACCTTGATTGGAAAGCACGATGGATGAAAGTCCTTGCCGCCACAGCAACTGGGTATAGAGCCGTTGATGGACCTGTCCGAAAGTAAAATGTTTAGTTAACCGGATAATAATTCGCTAGCTTTCCTAACCGTGGTTGTGCCGTCGACGTCATGTCGTGATCCAGCAGCTGGCCCCACTGCGCTATCATGAGAGTCAGTGGGGCTTCGCCTTCGCGTGCACCATGCACCAGCAAGCTGACAAAACGCGAAGAGGACAAAGTGCTGCCATCTGTAGAGCTGCGAACACTGTCCACTCCATCGCCGTACTCTGGCGGCAGGAACCGATTAAAGGGCATCTGTGCAGCTCCCCAGCGTGGTCTCCGTTTGTTGTTGCATGTTCCGTCGTGCGTTCGATAGCGTTCCGAGGCTGGCATACAAGGCGGCGGATCACGAACAGGGCATAGCCCCTCCAGCGCCGTACGGCGCAACGAGATCTTGTGGGCATGCGATTGGCGCGCTAGCTCATCGATGTGCTGGAAGCTGAGAGGAGACAATACTTCTGGTTAGCTCATCCTAATCCTGCCTATGTTTTTATCGTCGACATGGCTGCGTTCAAACTTTGTTTTCAAGTGCTGTCTACAAACGTTAGCGGCATCTATTTATAAAACGTTCAAGTTGCACGAAGTTGGGAGCCACATGGCCAACAGAGACCCAAACGAGTTCGTCGCAATGCTGCCGGTGTTGAGATGCGAGATCCACCAACAAATTAAAGCAATTTGCGTTTTCAGTGTTATATTTGTAAATATGTATATACATATATATATATGTATAAGTATGTGGTGGGAAAACGCATAAAATATCACAACGTGAGCAGCTGACTTTGCTTTAGCTGCTTTGGCTTTACCTGCAGGTTTTTACTCTTTCTCTGGGTATAATTAATTTATCATGAAAACGACTCTGATCAATAGAAAGTCCCAATAATACATGAGACTGCAATTATAGGTTTTAATGGAAAGGGTTGAAAATACGCTCGGGTTTATATTTAACACTCGTACATCTCATGAACGAAAAATTGTACACAAGAAAGTACAAAAGTCGAAATACCCTTGTGGGGCATTATTATCCAGAAAAGGATAATGAATTATAAAAAGTCAGATACCGCTCTCAACATTTGACATGAAGTCAAAACAAATCCATCAAGTTTATGTTTCGACAGTCTCACATCTAACAAGTTTATTTGATCTTGCTGCACTATAATATTTTTTTATAATTTTTTTATAATTTTTAGATAAATAAATGCTCTGCAGATGGTGATCAAAATTAAGGGTATTAGAAAGTCAACGAGTTGATTGTACTTTGTGCGGTGAAAGTGGAAAATGACTGATCTTATTTTTTGTACTTTTCGGATCTCGGTTTTCTGGTTTTTCATTTAACTATTCATTTTAATACCTATAAAAGCACTCAACGCCCTTTACCTTAGACAACGAGGCGTATGCGCAATCTTTGTCTACACATGAATACACAGCTGTAGAGCGCAGCCGCAGCCGCGCCGTTCAATGAACTCAGCAGACAAAAACAAAAAAATGCTTCTTTTTTTATATACATATATATACACTGTATGCACATATATACACATTTATTTGTGTGTACATAAGGTTTCGTACTGCTGGGTGCTTGAGGCCGAATTCGTGCGGCGCTTGGCGCTTGTAGAAAACGAAAGTCGCGTCTTGTGGCTTTTATTTATTCACTTGTGTTTGTATCTTTCTTTGGCATATAAGTCGCCGGCGAACTTTGTTGTTCGGTATGGATTTTTTGTTGTCGCCGTTTGATGTAATCATATTGCGAATGCTCACACTGCGACTTATTGAAAGACCAAGGCAGAGTTGGAGACGAAGAGTGTAAATGGGAAAGCGTCATGCGTTTTTCACCATATTATTTCTAAGGTTTGATGTCGCTGTCCATAAACATAAATGCACACATATAATATATAATTACAATCGTGCACATTCACTCGCTTTCTTCTAATTTGGCCAAATGCTGCTTTTGGCAATATTAATGAGCGCTAACGCTTGGTCACATCATCGATGAAGGCAGTGACTTTTAATAAAAGCGACCGCATCAAATATTTCGTAATTTAATTTTGGGCAATCAGCAAGCAAGCAATAATCGAGATTGCTCGACTAGGAGATACCCTCAGCTAGGAGGGTTAATTTATTTAAGAGGCTTTCTTAAAACAAGATTCATATTTCATGAATAAGGGGGTATCAATTTGATGCTTATTTATTATGTCTGCAGGGTAGGTAAAAACGAAAGAGCTGGGATGAAACTTTAAGTGCTGTGGCGCCTTCGTCACGGATTGTTATTGTTGTCAGCTCATTGGGCACCGCAGTTGATTGCATTGATTACATAAAAGTATTTGGGCAGCTTCGGCTCATTGCACCTGCACCTACATATATGCGAGCGGGTGTGTGTGTGTGTTAATGTTTTGTAATTGTGACTGTCTTCGAGTGAAAGTTCTGTTTTAGCTGTGCTTAATGCTGGTTATGTGTGGAAAATTGCACGGATTTTTTTTAGATGCAAGCCGAAGCCGAACTCGAATTTTAAACTCGTTGTGAAAAGTGAAAACTTGCAAACTGGAAAAACTACACTGCTGCGGTGGCTGCTCGACTGCTGTTTCCGCTGCCTGGCCAAAGGGGTCATTTACTTTTGCACTGCCCAGCTCTACTCGGCTCAGCCCAGCACAGCTCAGCTCAGCACAGTCCAGCACAGTCCAGCCAGCGGGCAAATTTAATTTAACTTCAGCTATCATACAATTTGGCTTAACTTAAATGGCCTGGCGTGGTCCAGACCATGACGGCTGCTGATGCTGGCTTGCAATTATGTGGCATTTCAATGTCAAAGTGAAAGTTTACTCTCAGCTGTCACGGCAACCATCGTTGGCTGTCGTTTTAGATATGATTTTACGGGTGTCGCTACTGCTCCCGCTCCCACTCCTGCCTCCATACCGCTACTGGTCACATTTTGGAGCACTTTTTTCAGCGCACTTCAACTTCAACTCATGAGCAAAGGGTGTCATGGAGTCGTAGAACTCGTTAATCAAGCGAGAAAGTTACCGCTGCTTTGGAATGGGGGTGGCATCGGTATGCAGAAGCGTCTCCGCTTAAATTGTCAAATTATTGCTATGTATTTCTATTGGCTTTGTTTTCTTTCAATTAACTTCGGGTGCGGCAACTTTTGCTTCTTAGATAATATATCTCTAGGATAGAAATTTGAGCATTTTCACTAAGAGTTGTACCTTTTATTACTTCTACCTGATTATATTTGATTATGTTTTAGTTTAAAGAAAAAACAAAGTAAATCAAAAACAAATATGATTTCTGTTACCCAATCCACCAAAAAGTATTACCGCCGAACAACACTAGAATTGTTGCAAGCTGAGCTTAAATTATGCGCCTTTGGCAAGGATTTTGCTCACTCACCCACCCGTTCTGTTGGCTGGCCCGAGGACTTACTTTTGGCGAAAGGCTTTTGTGGCTTCGATGGTTGCATAGGCGGCCATCTCCCGTTGCTCTGACTCTGCATTGGGCGCGTTGAAGCGCGATAGTAGGGCGGCTGGGTGGTTGTCCTGCAGCATTTGACCTTCAAAAGGAAAAAGTTACAAATGTGGTTCCAGCAATAAAAAACCAATCGCACACCATTAAGCAGCATTTGTGGTTGTATTCTGCCATACAGCTCGGCCATGGCATTGAGTCCTTGCTGCACGCTCTGCTGCAACGCCACATCCATCAGAGTGGGTCGACGGGAGCGCGTATTCCTCTGGCTCTGCTGGAATGTCAGTTCTGTTGGCAACGTTAATGGCCGAGGTAGCTCTTGGGTGGGCGGTTTGCTGCTAGCATACCCTATTGGCTCCGGCTTCTGATCATGCCCCCAACCCGCGTCCGACAACAGCAGCAGAGTCAACAGCAACAACCGCAGCATAACAACTTTGTGTCTCATGTGGAAAGTTCAACCAATGCCCAGGAGCTGATAAACTGTAAAAACACATCAAAGTTCGAATATGAGCTATGTCATAAGACCTATTTGATGGCATACCCATTGGGCAGCTTCACTAAAGCTAATTATTGCAACTCTTAATTCATTAAAATTTGTTCCTTTATAGACCCATCCACTAGTAGCTATGTTTGGTTGCGCAAATGAAAAAAAGTGAAAAAAAATTTGTAAAAATAAATAAATGGAATGAAAAAGAGGTACATTGCTGTTTATGTCACGGGAAATGGGAAGCATTCCGATGCCATTAACTATATATATTTTTGCTCAACATTTTCAGATGAGTTTATGTAGCCATTTCCATCCGCCTGTCCATGTCGACACGCATATCTCGGAGGCTATAAGAGCTAGATTCATCAAATCTCGTATCTCGCATAATAAATACAGATCCAAAGTATTTTATTTCATTGATAACTTTTTCTCGCGTTATCCAATATTGTACAAAACAAATTTTACGAGGCATAGCCTAGTTTTTTGGTATTTTCACACGTTTGGTTTCCATATTATATGTGCCTAAAGATCCAACAACAAACCCCAATGTTGTAGAAGATAGGTTAAGGGAAAGGGTAACATGGCGAACATATGTATTAATAAAAGCTTGACTATTTGTAGCGACCGCTTGAGGGTTTCTCCTAATCTTGACTGAAGCATTCTAACTTGTCAATTATGGCTAATTATTGGAATCTATGGAATGTTGTACATATACATTTCTTGAGTATCAATTATTCAAAGGGTACATGTAAATCTGAAATATGTCAATTCGTTATTACTTAGGGGGGGTGGGGGGTGCTAAAACTTACACACACCAGGGTTAAATTAAGCTGACCTTGTTTGAAGATTTAGATGCAAGTCATGGAAAATTCTTAAACAACATTTTTATACCCTGACTATCTTCAAGCTGGCTCGTCGATCTCAGAGACTAACAAAGCTATAAATATATGGCCCCTAATGTTGATAAGAAATACTATCTTCCACATTCTCATTTTAATAGGAATATCATTTTAAAACAATCCGAAAATAATTACAAAAATCTTTCAGATACATCCTTCGTAATGTGAAAGAAAAAGCAAAGAGTGCAGGTAAATGCAGGTAAATGGTATCTATTAGTCGGGCATTCTCGACTGCTTATTAAAATTATCTCTGGCTAAAGTATAAAAAACTAAATTGTATCAATCAACGCGGAAATTAACTTTAATTACGGACGGAGTTGCGTCGCGGATCGCCAATGTAATGTCGATTGTTTTTGTTGTTGTTGTTGTAAATGTGTTAGATTGCATCAACAATCAGGGAATGCAAGCCGATGTTTGATTTAAATTTATTTATTTAGAAATTTTGTGTAGCCGGCGGCAAAGTAAAAGTTGTCATTAAATGTTATGTGATATAATTAATTGTTTGGCTGGCTCGAGACCCGCTTAATATATATTTTTTTATTCTTCCTTTTTTACAAGATCGTTTTCGCTATCTCTATATTCTACATCAATTCACACTTTTTCCGCACTTTTGTTGGCTCTGGCCGAGTGATTTTGTGCTACGGTGTGCATATCTTTGTATCTTTTGATGCAATACCTCCAGATTATATGCTTCACTGGACGTATAACAGGCATTAAGAGTGGCGGTTCTCTGCATAATATAAGCATATTAACTGCAATTCATTCGAATTGTGTGCATGCGCCTAACTCGTAATGTTAATAGTTGCTGCATCTACTTCTGTTCACTGTTCATTACCCAGCTGCATGCAGTGGTGGCTACTGAAGTTGATGAAAGGGGGTGGACTTTAAGATCTCATCCTCTGACAATGTGAAAGTGCACATATATATGTAGACACAAGTCCGATCATATAACTAACTAATGAAAGAGACATTAAGTATAAGAGGTAAGATGTATACGAAATATTGCCATTATTAAGGCAGTAGTAATATAAATGTAATTAATTTGTATAACACAAATCGGCATCAAATTGAATTTTATCCATCCCCACCTAAGCTTTATCATCACCGTCTTTGCCAATACACTTTGGCCGTGCATAATAATTAATATATATATATATATATATTTTTTTAATTTTCGTGCACAAATTATGCAATTAAATGTGTTGTTGGCCACAGCAAATGGTCACACTTGCATAAGGCACTTCTTCCGACTGGCCGGCGTAGCCGGGCCTTGCAATAGTTGAAGCCAGGAAATCGTTGGCATAGAGAAATTACCAGGTCGGCGTTAAAACTTTTTGTTCGAAGGTTCGCGAACTATGAAAAAGCTTAGGACACGCTCACTTAGCCAACAGTCATAGGTAGTTATTTGAACAAAACGGAAATAGATATACCTTTAGTTCAGTTGGCAGCCAAATTGATTCACTCCTGCTGCAATTGATAAAGTAGCAGGAAATGTGCTCGATCACTTTTGAGGGTCTTGTGTCATGAATAGGCGACAGGTATTCACTGGTGCAATGTTAAAGTTAATGTTAATGTTAACTTTAAGGTCAATGATAATGTTAATGTCAATGGTAATGTTAATGTCACAGCGTTTCCTCCTGTTCCTCTTCCTGACACGGTTTCACTTTTTAATACTGAGAGCCGCACAAAATAGAAACTTTTTCGCGTTTGTATCTTTGATCGCCGTAAACCGAACTAAATCGATTCTCACCTTACAGCTACCATTAGAAGCCAAAAAGACACAGACGCGGCGACACACTGGAGCCAGAAACAGAGCCGCAGCCAGAGGTAGAGCCCGAGTTGGAGCCAAACCGATGCCACAACTTCCATGAGACGCGGCATTGCTCACAAAAAAAATATATATATATATATATATATCAACGTCAAGAGTTCCAGGCGAGCGACCAGTTCTCGCTGTTGAATGCTGCTGGTACTGCTGCGGGCATCTCGTAGTAGCAGTTGTTTTTTCCACTCTTCTACATATTTATTATTTATTTTCAGTTTGGCGCTTATCGTTGCCGCCGTCACCTCAGCCATCAGCGCCAATACGAATTTGTTGTATATATTGAGAGATAAAATAGCCGGCGGCTGCAAAAATGTCTTACTGCATGGTGGGCAACTTCATTGATCGTCATCAATGCGCGGGCCACTCGCCACTCGTATCAAATAATTCCTAGCTGCGTGCTCAGCTTCAAGCCCCGGGCACGGGCCTGGGGTCGACCTCAGCAGCCCACTCGAGAGCTTGTCTGCATCACACTCTGGTTATCTTCCGCCTTGTCGGACTGCTTTCAATTAGAAGAGAAAGTTCTCGCTATGAAAAAGCGAAAAAGCTCAATACACAAAAACACACAAACAAATATTTAACCCGGGGGCAAAGATGCTTTTACTCTAAGCTATCGCCCCACCCAAACGAGTTGAGAATAGCGAAAATATCTTAAAAATTGCACCTCATAAATTAAGTAGTTGATTTATTACCATTGAAACGGTTACACACTTTCAGCTCGACTGTGAGAGAAGCTGACAGTCACTGAACAAACGAGAGCCTAAGTTTAACAGAGATGCATCAGACCCAAAGTGTGCATTGACATGACAATGAGCCAGCTAAAGTTTTGTTATTAATACCAATAATAACACCATTTCTGGAAAAACATTTATCGACGATAAATTAAGGAAAGCTAAAACATACTGATTGTCTGATTGGCTGACTGGATGGTGACCGAGGCGCAGCACAATCCGTAAGATTCGAGCTAAAAGTAGGGAAAATGGTGGTCAACATTTGTATGAAAAAGTACATCTGAGACCCGAGAGCTGTCAGGTCGACAGGTTGAGAGATGAAGCTGTATACTTACGTGTTAGTCTAGTCGGGGTAGTCTAGGCTCAAGCCAGAGGAGACGCCTCCGCTAATAAATATTACACAAAGCAACATTCTAAGATGAATCTACTGGAGTTTATGACGGCAACTGGACATCATGTTTTGTTTCAACTGTGTCTTGACAAATCGAATCTGGTCGAATTTAAGTTTATAATCAAGACTGACGCCTATTTCATTACTGTTGTTGGCACGTTCGAGCGGAAAGCTGTCCAGTGTGTAATAAAGAATTTGGCGAGAGTTTCCATAGAAAGTCCTTACCTTGCATTCGGGACCGTTCAGACTTGAGAGGTTAACTTGACACCACGAATAAAAGCAGAGTGACTAGAATGCCGAGGAAGCAGTTAGCAGTGACTAACGGCATCGTAATCCTTACTAAAATAAGTATAGATTACGTAAGCCTACATTTTTTTAGCCATCAATTACAGGTGAAGTGAATTTAAGATTCTTGTTTGCAGATCTACACTTCAATAGTAAAAAAAGCGGATAATTTGGAAATCACTCTATATTTCTTACTTTTTCAGAAGATTAATTAAAAATGATAATGTATATACATATATATATATATATATACGTATATTACACATAGCTAACATTCTAACATTCTTTACTGTACCAAAGGCATCCAAGAATGGAAAAGATTCTATTCATTCTACATTGAATTCAAGGTTCCACTCGGCAGGGTGGATTTTTCACAATCCGTAACCAGTTTTTTCCAAGAATGATGGATTTTGTAATGCAAATATATTTCATTCACCCATTTCCAGCCTGTAGGAAACTTATATGTATCTAACATCGATATTTAAGATTTGCAATTTACATATTAGTTCCGTAATGTAAGTTGTATGCTAAAAATATTCTTGACTTAAAACGAACTTTCAGTACAAGGAGGGAAAGGAAAAGTGTGTAAGACATGTCAAATTAATTTCAGACAGATCTTGGAAAATATGTCAACTTATATTTTGAGCATACAATAAACGATTTGAAATCTCAATAAATACATTATTTAAAAACTAAAGTTGTAAATTAAATAGTTTCTGATTTAATAATAAATAATAATATATAAATATCTATAAAGAATTCACTGTATCTAGTCATTAGTGCTCAACAAAAGTATTGAGGTGGCATGCCAAAGTTTAATTACTGTCATGAACAAAATTGGTAAAGATAAGCGCAGAATAC